TGCGTGATTAAATAAATGTTCAAAGCTTAAGTTACCGGACTTAGGCGATTTTACGGTACTAATATTATATATATATGTATGTATGTGTGTATGTATATAAAAGGATATGAATTTTTAAGTTTCAATTTTTTGTATAATAACATTATAAATCTATAAAGTACTATAAATGCTGCTGGTATGAGGGAGGGTAGTTACCCAAAAGCGCACAAACTTGTACAAATGGACGATATGTTTAAGACCCCTGTCTTAAACATACACGGATTAGGAAATATAAATGCTCTGATACCAGTTGTTTTTTTTTAGTTGTTCTGTCTCTAAATTTCTGCTGTATGTATGTTTATATGTATTTATTATTTATAGTATATATTTATCGAACTATATGAGGTTTGTTTTCAAATTACGTCACGCTTTAGAAGGGAGAAAGTTTATTAATTTCGCGATACTTTGTGACAGGGAAAAGTAGAGAAAAAATTTTTATACCACAATTGTCTTAATTAATTTTAGAAATTTTAATACCTTTTAAGTAATAACAAGCTTAAAATTTTGATTTCTTAATCAATGGATTTTCCCTTTACAAAAATATGTAAAAGGACGAAGTTGACAGAGGCGGCCTTAAAGCGGTTGACAAAAATATTTCAGCAGGAATCAAACTTTGTTAAAATAGAATTAAACAAGAACAGTTCAATTTTTTCGATTTTGCAAAACATCTTGATCCTGCATGGCAATTGGTAGTTATAAATATTGACTGTGGAAAAAAAATACTTGTTGTTTTTAAAAATTACACTCTAACACAAAGAAGGAGTGTGGTTTTTAAATTTTGTAAGAAAATATCAAACCCTTTTCAGGAGGGAGGAAGAGTTGACGATAGTTTTTTTTTTTGTGATGACGTAATTTGAAAACAACACCATATATGTTTAGATCGGTAAAAGTTGCAATAATATTTGTATAAAGTTATTTTTTTTTAATTTTTCTTTTATGTGTGACAGATAAAAATATGAATACGAAGTCTAGTAACTGAAACTGCAATGGCAGAAGGAAAAGATACAAGTGTTAAAAGGTTCAATGAGTTAGTTAATGTTTTTAATAAATATACCATTTTGTTTGAATCAAATGCTAATCGCTCCAAGCTTAAACGTTGTTTTGATGACGAGCCGGCCATTTTCTCCAAAGTCGAAGCTTATGATAAAACCCGTTTTTATGATTCTCTTGCTAGAATCATAGACGCACAAGGAAAATGCACCAGTGTTTATATTATTGGTTGCATTTTGAATATATCTTTTAATAGCAAAGCCGAAAAAGAAGCAAGAAATAAGGTTAACATTTTGGTCAAACTGCTTAATGATAACAAGAGAAATGAAGAAAATAAAGCAGCCATACGCATTCTTGCCTTACGTAATTCATTAGAATTTTTCAATGCTTATAAGACTTTTTTAAAAAAGTATGAGAAATGTCCACACGAAAAATATTCCGTTTTATTTTATAAACTAAAAATTTATTTTCAACAGATTTCTCAATTGAAATTTAATAAATCTATACTGCAAAAATTAGAAACACTTGACGATCCTTTTGAGATGTTTTATCCAACGGATAAATTTATCGAACAAAAAATTAAAAAATGTGACTTGATAAAACAAACAAACGAAGATGATCCTATTAATTCCTCTTATGTTGCTTTTATAAAATACTGGTATAGAGTTATTCAAGACGTCGAAAAAGTACTGATTGTGTTCAAAAAATATAACTATGAACTTACGCCTGAATTCAATGCAAATCCAGACAATTATCATGCTGAAATCGCCTTAGTAAAATACTTAAGAGCAAAAAAGCAAGAAAGCATAGGCTATATCGGAATATCAAAACTTTGCTGTAAATTATGTAACACAACTCTTGACCTATTAAATATTCAACATGCAGGTTCACACAACATATTGTATGCAGGTGCTAATTGGATTATCCCATACGGGAATATGTTGAATGAAAGTCATGTACAGGTATTAATCGATGTTATAAAACATTATTTTCAGAAAAACATAAACATGTTTTATTCCGACATAATAAGGGATACAGAATTATCGTGTTTTAATGTTGATGATAACATGGAATATTTAAATCAATTAGAGAGTATATTTGAAAAAAAGGAACATGTTGATATCGACCATGAAAAAAGAAATCAGGTTGCAGACATATCAAATGATGATATAGAAGTTGATATTAGTTTTTTTCATGATGAAAAATTATTATCATTATCGGAATTAAAAACAGATCTCCAGAGTGTTGAAATTTTGACTAAGACCATGTGAAAAAATGATCATCATAAGTCAATAGCTAACATTTTTGAATTATACAAAATTTTAGTTTTACTTTATTCTCAGGTACTTGAAAAATAGAGAAGAGGGAATAACCGTACCTAGTTAACAAGTTAGGGTGTTTAAATATTTGTTTAAAAAATGATATGTTAAATTATTTACCCAAACGTAATAAACAAAAAGCGTCTAATTGC